TGTGAAGGTGATGATGTTGGAGCTAAAACTAGCATGAGTGGCCCTGCAGGTTCTGGAGTGCAAGAGTGTTATCAGATGCGCATGGTAAGAAGTGAGCCTGGCAGCCATGCGTGGCTGGGAAAGGGGAGGGCCCCTGAACCATGTGGAGTGATTCCACGTTTGTTCAGCACTTTTTATTGAGCACCTACTATGTGCCTCACACTGTTTTAGGCACTAGGGATAGATCAGTGAACAAAACAAATAAAAATCCCTGCCCTTGTAGAGCCAGCATTCTAGAGAGAAAAGTAGACAATAAAGAAACAGATGAATGAGTTGGTAAACTAAACCGAGATAGAAGCTCTGGGGGAAAGGTCACCAAGCAGGTTGGAGAGGGCAGGTATTGAATCAGCATCAACAGGGTGGTCAGGAGAGAAGTGACCTTTAAGTGGAAACTTGCAGGAGGTGAGGGCGTTGACCATGAAGATAGCTGGTGGGGAGCGTTCCAGGCTGAGGGAGCAGCTCAGACAACAGCTCAGAATGTGCCTGGTGTCTTCCCGGATCAGCAGAGTCCAGTGCAGGAGGGAGGGATGACCAGAATGAGGGGCTAGGGAGGTAAGGGGGCCAGGTCACATAGGGCCTCATGGACCTGTGTCAGGACCTGGGAGAAGTGGGAATCAGAGCAACTTTTGAGCAGGAAGGAGACATGAGGTGGCCTGAATTTCCACGGGTCACTCTGGCTTCTAGGTTCCTGGAAACTAATGTGAGTATAAAGCTCTCGCTACTCTCAAGGCATTTATAATCTAATTTATAAAAGAACAAATCCAAGTCCCTTTATCCCCAAATCGCAACTTAAAATCTGATGATTCATGCTGACATTCACACGATTACAGATTTATATAGATATTCACACTGTTCCACTACATGGAAATATGATTCTGAAATTTTTCTTGGCTCCATATAATAAAACCTGTTTTTCCCCTACCATACTTTTTTGCTTGAAGTTTTATTCCTGATCCCAGACCCTCAGTGAGCTCATGGAAGCATCTAGACTTCTTTTTGAGAGAATAGCAGAATTCTCCCTCCTCTGGCTCTGCCTTAAGCTCAGAATCTTCTCTGATCACGTCAAGTGTGCCTCTGCAGCCCTTCCTTCATGGCTCATACTAAAATTAGAGAATTTTTTTTAAGTCAACATACCAGAATATGTTAGAGCTGCTAAGAGAGCGGCAGATGGTTTTCTCTCTTTACTGGTAGCCTAAAGATGTTGTGAGCTGATTGATTCCAGGTTTTGTGACTTCCTCAACATCTAAATCACACACATCAGCTCATCAGCTTGCCATGTCACGAGAGATACCTCTGGTAATCAAAGCCTTGTGTCCCTTTACCCTGTCACTATAGAGCTTAAATCTGTGGGCTGTCCTACCTTACCATGGGTCAGATCCATGAGGAATCACGCACAGTCTAAGAGTAACATTGACCTTTAGATCCTCACTGGAAAAGGCTACCTGCTGGGCTAGACTCTCGGAGGAGACCATGTCTGTACTTCTCAGAACCTCATGGTCTAAAGGAGGGCTGGCCACAGAGGCACCAAGGCTGGTGGTGATTCAGGAGCCAGTTTCCCATGCTTTGGATACAACTGCCAGCTGCACGAGCCTCTCTGGAGTGTGGAGGGTGACTGTGCCAGCCCTGCTGTCCCCTGGGCTGACTGCCCAACAGGTGGGCCAAGCTCATGCTCCAGGTACTACAAACAAAATAAAAAGGGAGAAAGAGAAATATTTTCCATGGAATGTGACATTTAATATGTCCTAAAATAGAATCAAAGTAGTTGTCCTGGGAGAAGTCAGAACGTTGTCAGGCTTTGTCACACGTAGTTTGTGGGTTAGTATAGTCTGAATGTTGAACGACCCTAGCACGATACCTTCTCAGTACTCAGGAAAGTGGTTCTCAACTCTGGGTATTCATCAGAACTTTTTAAAAATTCTGATGCCCAGGCCACGCTCCAGAGATTCTGATTTCACGGGTCTGGGTGTGGCCTAGGCATCAATATATTTTTAAAACTACCCCGACCCCACCAAGAGATTCTAATGTGCAGCTGAGTTTTTAAACCACTAACTTAGCTGCTGTAAAGGTCATCATATGCCTTGAACTCCCCTCCCAGATTCATCCCATCCCCTCCGCCTGCCCCAAACAGCAAGGTCAGGACCCCAAAGGTGCTTTTTAAAGACAAGCAGATGCAAGACCCATCTGAGCAGGGTGGCCTGGGCATCTCAACCAGCTACTTCTTTGGTACAAGGTCCCAGCACCTACTGGGTTTCCCGAGGGGAACATGGTCCTGGTCTCTGCCCCTCTGGAGGAGTGTCAGGTGCCACCCCATTCCTACTTCCCTCTGTGACCTTGCCGCTATGTTCGGGTTCCAGCTCAGAGGCTTTCCAGAAGGGCGGAAGGAAAGGGGCCAAGAAGGTGATGATTGTCATCACAGATGGGGAGTCCCACGACAGCCCAGACCTGGAGAAGGTGATCCAGCAAAGCGAAAGGGACAACGTAACCAGATACGCCGTGGCTGTAAGTCACTGTCCCCACCCAAGGGCTACAGGCTACTCTTAGAGGCTTTGCTGCCAATCCCCTGAGGACTCCAAGAGGGTGTTTTCGGGGCAGTGTAACAAGTGTCCAGACCCCCAGATGGGCCTTTCGTTTCATCCTCTTCTACAGAACAAGTTGAGGATCTTCTTTCTGCACTGCCCAGGCCTATCCACAAAAGTTGTGGGTTTGTTTTTCTGAAACCTCAGAAAACTAGAAAACACTCCAAGCCTCCCAACTCCCAGAACCCTGGCTTAGCAAAGGAGTCTTATCTTGCCCCTAAAAGAGAGTGTGTTTCAAAATGCAAGTGGCACCTTGAGGAATGCTCATGGCTACCAAACACTCATGGCTCCAGTCCACCCTGGGGCCCCCCAGGGTCGGGGGCTTTGGGGCGTGTGGGGAAATCTGTGCTATGTCCTGGCTTGTCGCCCCTGCCCCTGTTCCCTGGCAGGTCCTGGGCTACTACAACCGCAGGGGGATCAATCCAGAAACTTTTCTAAATGAAATCAAATACATCGCCAGCGACCCTGATGACAAGCATTTCTTCAATGTCACTGATGAGGCAGCCCTGAAGGACATCGTTGATGCCCTGGGGGACAGGATCTTCAGCCTGGAAGGTGAGCAGTGCATGCCTAGGGGGGTTGTGCTCTCCTGGGCTTCCATCAGGTAAACCCCACAGAGTGAAATCCAGTCGTACTAAATGGAATGGCTTAGCAAGAGGCCTCCTTGAATAATACATGCCAACAATTGGGTGTTACTCCCTGCCGGATGTGAGGCCGCACACTTTATGAACAACCCCGGAAGTTGGTCTTGCTGATATTCTCCTCATTCTACCAATAAGGAAACTGAGGCTCAAAGGAGTTAAGGGCCTGCCAGAGCTCCCGCAGCTTGAGAACTCATGGTGGGGTTTGAACTGGGTTGTCAGGTTTGGCAAATATAAAGTATAATGTCTGTGGCAGACTTACGCTAAAAATGTATTCAATGTTTGTCTGAAATTCATATTTAACTGGGTGTCCTGTATTTTATCTGGCAACCCAAGTTGGAACCCAGCTGGGCCGACTCTGTATCATGACACCCTTGACCCCCATGTGCCACTGCCCACGCTCCACCAAAAGCGTTTTTTACAAGCTTCCTTCAGATTGCCTCTTTCCTTGTGATTAAACTCCATTTTTTATTTGTACTGGTCTTATTTGCACCATGTATTGCTATAGCGGGGCCTTCCAATACGGGGCTATGGGCGTATGGGAGGATTATAAAAATGAATAGAAGGCAGTGTCCCAAAGCCTGCAAAGTCCGCAGTGCACTGGAAATGACAAGCTACAGGCACATGGAAAGAGACGAAAACGGACCTCATAAACAAGGAGAGATGAGGGCAAGGAGTGAACGGAGCGTCAACACATTCCACGCCAGAGCTTAAATGTCCGCATCAGTGTGTGTTTCTCCTCCCAATGCTCCCCTTGGGTGATGACAATGTCAGTTCCAATGACACGTTTGGGGCCCCTCTGTGGGGAGGGGCACTCAGCACACATGGGAGTTCTTGTGCAAATGCGCAGTGGTGACAAGTCTCCCTCCTGAGGGTTGATGTGATGTTTAGGAGCCGTCCAAAAGCATCTGGAACCAAATCTGGTGAAAAATAGGAGTGAGCAAAGTGGGAATTCCATTTCTTGCCAAAAATGTAATTATTTTCATGCACTTTTTCATGATTTGCCCCTATTTCAACAGTCTTATAATACACATGTCCTGTAACATAACTTGTCCCCAGACATTTTCAGAAGTGAGTGGACTACTACTAATAAACCCACATGACCACCTGCAGGTGCTTGGCGCACCTCACTGTGCAGGTGCTGATGGGGCAGATGAGGCTGCCAGCGTGACTCGCCTCAGCCTCAGGGCCCCTCTTGCAAGAGAAGCCTCTTCCCTAAGATGCCCCCCTGGGAAACGGGAGCGGCGGATCGAGCTGCTGGTGTTTCGTGCTAAGCAATCAGGCAGGGAGCCATCTGTCTGTCCTTCTGTTTTAGGCACCAACAAGAACGAAACCTCCTTCGGGCTGGAGATGTCGCAGACAGGCTTTTCCTCGCACGTGGTGGAGGTACGGGTCAGCGCCACCTCCCATGGTCCCTCCCGTGCATCCTCTCACCCTTCCCAGCTCTCTATATGTGTCATCCCACTTTTCATGAGCTGTCTCATCCTCTCTTGCTCTCTGTCTTGGAGTCTCTCTGCCTCCCATCTGTGCGCTGGAAGAGGGAAGTCAAGATCTTCAGCTTATTTATATTGTCTCAAGCCCTTTTCAGAATGAATGGACACCGATAATACACTCACATCCCCACCTGGAAGGTGGTTGGTGCACCTCACTATGCAGGGTGCTGATGGAGGCATCTTCCTCCCAAGACCAAAGACCCCATGCAGTCCACAGAGCCTTGTGCAAACACAAGGCCAGATGGCAAAACCAGCTGCACTCTGATCGTGCTGTGCCCGAGGCGGCCTATGTGTGCAGCATCACCAGGGACACATCCCTGTGTCGATGTTGAGAGGGTGTCCAGATGTTCCAGCTGTGCTCCAGCTGGCAGCCTGTGTGGGCTCCCTCTCTGTGTGGACTCTGCTTCAGATTGCAGAGGTCCCAAGTGGGTCCAGCCCACTGAGGGAAGAGGCACTTGGTGTCACAGCAGTTCATGGTGTCTAGGGCTCTGTGACTCGGGCCCAGAAACTCAGGCCGACATTCGCCCTCTATGCACTTCACCTAGTGTTGGTTTGAAAGGTGGGTCTGAAACTTCACAGGATGGCCAGAGGGACAGAAGCGTCGGTGTCTGTGAAAACACTTTATAAAGTGTAAAGTCCTGCCTGGGACTACCACATGGGGAGACGTACCAACTATATGTGTCGGTATCAGTAGGTGCTCCGGTGGGTGTGTTTTGGACAGACAGGTGTCCAGGTGTGTGTGTGTGTGTGTGTGTGTGTGTGTGTGTTCTGCCAGGCTGACTCCATGGGAGTGCACTTATGCCTCCTAATTTGCCAGAAAAGGCCCATTAGTCCATCCTACTTATATGTCATTTTCTCATCCCACTGAATTCTCCTACTCTTGTGTCAGGTGAGCAGAGCAGGATTTCTTGGTCCCAATTTACTGATAACGAAATCAGCACAGGAAGGTTAACTGACCTGCTAAAGTAAAATTAGTCAGAAAAATATTAGCAGCTGCTCCGTGAGAGAGCAGGGAATCTCAGGGGGGCTGAGTCAGAAATCCCAAATTGGAGGGGAGCGGGGCACATTCACCACATGCAGCGGGCAGATGGACAGAAGCACAACTCACGCTCAGGTTTTCCTGAGCTGCATCTGGACAATCTCGTGCCCATTGTCTTGAATACAGCAAGATGTGAATGCAACTGCCCTGTCATGGTAACAGCCCTGTTACATGTGCACAGCACTTTAAACTCTTCCAGGAAGTCCCTGCACCTCATTTCATGCTCAGAACAGTCCCGCAAAGTCAGCAGGTGGTAAAAGCTATCACTTTTTAGATGGTTGGATCAGCCAGTCTTTTCAGTGCCCTCTCTGTGCTGGTCCCTTTGCTGGACATCAGGTGAAGGAGGGGTAAGAGCCCTGCCCTACAGGAGCTCACAGTCCAGGGGTAAAGAGCTGGCATGGAGAGGCGACAGCATCCATTCGCACGAGGGCAGGCAGTGCCTCTCATGCTCTGGCTCAACTAGCCCTGGTCTCCTGGCTCTGGGGTCAGGGCTGATTAGAAAATGCAACAAAGAAATGCAATGTAATTAAATCCAACAAGCATTTGTCAAATGCACTAAAGTATCAAAACAAACCAGAAATGATTCCTGCCTCCAGGAGTCAACTTGCAAACAATCCAGAACAGCAGCCCTTACTTTGAGAGCAGGATGAAGGGAACTATAGATGTCTCCTAGGTAAAAATGTACAACTTCAGGAGGCCCCATCCATGGAGCCCCTGTGGAGACCCCTGCTCAGAGGGAGAGCCAGACACGTACACATCTAATACCAACCAAGGCATGACTAGGGTCTTACAGAAGGAAAGGCCTCAGCTAGGGGAGGGTGCAGTCAGGGAAGGATGCGGGGAGGTGTTGGCACTTGAGCGGGCTCCTGAAGGACAAGGATTTCAGCAGCTATGGCTGGCAGCAAGCAAGAGAGCAGACAGAGTTGTGTGCACAAGACTGGGAGAAATCTGGGCACAGACCAGAGGCCAGCCCCTATGCTGGGGACAGTAAGAGAGAATGAATGTCCCAATGTCTTCTTTGTTCATTCTCCAAGTTTCTTTTGAGCATCTTCCTGTGTGTCAGGCTCTGTACCAGGCACTGGGGATAGAGATTAAGGTAACATTTCAGCTGTCAGCAGTCCACAACCCAGTTGGAGAGAAAGACTCTTAAAATAATAGTTTATCTACTGCTTCTAATACTGTGCTGTGTGTATGTCCAGGAATCGAGAAATCTAAGAGAAAGGGAGGTTAAAATGGGCTTTACAGATTCAGGGAAGCAAGAGCTAAGCCCTGAAAATGGCCCAAGCAGCTCAAGCAGCTCCATGTGTCAAGGAAGATGAGTTCGTGCAGGACCAGCAGGGTCCCCAGGTGCATGGGGGCCAGGGCAGGGGAGGCAGGCAGGGAGACCCAGGAGCTCAGAGCCCCAGCTTGTTACTTAGGTCAAGTCAAGGTCATGACTGCCCTTGTGCACCTTCTGCATGTGCTCAGCAATTTTTCTGATATCCCAATCAGAGAGACCCAGGTTGCATCTCCCCATACACCCCAGCTCTTCTGTCACCCCTGAAGTTTTCATCCAATAGGACTGTTAAAGAGACAACAATTGCACGTGAATCTGAGACTTTGTAGTCTTTTTTAAGAAAAGAAAAAAAAAAACTTCCAAATCCAAAGGAGTGGTGTAGTGATGGTGGGCTGTCTGGTTCTGTGACTGGCCATTGAGTTGGGTTTCTATTTTAGAGCCCAGAGGTCTTTCAGTGCCAGGCTGCTGGTGCCATCATAATTGGCCACAGCCATCCTGTCATCCTCAGCTCTCAGGGTGAGTCAGGCCTCTCTGGGGACTGAGAGCAGCTTTGTCCTGAGCAGGTCCTGAGCCAGAGTGAGTCCATCCCCAGGCAAGCCCCTGGGCTCCCTCTCCACCAAAAGTGCGCCACAGATGGCCTCAAACAGCTGCTGGTAAGAATCTGCTGCCTGAGAATCTGCTGAAGGAGACCACAGCTCCCCTGGGCCTGTTTATTTCTGTTAGAGGGAAAGTTCCTTTGCCCTGGGCAAGCCAGTAGAATGTTCTCAGATGGCAGAAGAAAGATCCAGCTCCTCATTGCCTGGTTTGCTGCCATCTTGTGTAGCAAGGAATCCAGCCTTTGAGTTAGCAAGGGTAAAAACAACAAGAGAAAGGAGGGACCAGAACCCAGGGTAGAGAGGAGACCCCAAGATATAAACTGACCACGCACAGAGTCCAAGGCTCCAGGCCACAAGGCACTACATCCCAGGCTGATGGCGGAAGGTCGGAACCATTGGGAAAACCTGGGGAAACTCTAGTCCTGATTTACAGAAAGGGGAAAGAGAATACTCCAAAAATTACCATCAGGAAGGCTAGCTATGAATTCCTGGTCAAACTTTAGATGGGATTTTTAGGCCAATGGCTCCATTAGCATTTGGAAATGAATGCGAAGTTCGCTACGAGCTGCAGTGGCTCTACCAGTGCTGGCTGCCTGCTGAGGTGGTGAGCTCCCTGTCAAGCTGGGTAACCAAGCGGCATGATTCTGCCAGAAAGCTTGTAGAAGAGATCCATACCTCAAAGCGGGGTGGATAAGAGTCCGTAATCCCCATGGGCCTGGGTGGGAAGATGTGGAGGGAGAAAGAGGACTATAAATAATTGGTGCCCATTGGTGATGGGGCTGCTGAGGAACTCCTATACACAGGCTCAGTGGGAGGAATTTCACATTGACCCTCCTACACTCGAGACCATAAATCTGCCCCTAACACCAAAAGTTTATAGAAGGAAGCAGTTTTATTAGGATGGCTCTTGTCTGCACAAAAACCTTGGTGACTCAGCTGAGATGAGAAGAGATCATTTTTTCTTTTACCTACAAGAGATATCTTTTTATCCTGCACATGATGATACAGCAGGACAGTCATCAGCTCAGTTTTGAAACAGGCCCAGGTCAGGGAGCCTCCTATGTCCCAGACAAGCTGCCCCAGCTGTCCTCCTGCCTCTTCACCCCGTGCCCTTCCTCCAGGCCCTCCTGGGGTTGTGGACTGGACAGCCAAGATTATTGGCTATTACCTAAGATTCTTAGAGGATAAAGCTTTAAAGGTGTAATTTTTCCTAAGAGTTTTGCATTGGAACTAGTTTTGCATATCTGATTCAACCAAAAAATGAGAGAAATGTATCCATAATGGTGAACTGAGGGGTTGATATCTGGAGGCTGTAGACCCTTCCTGAGCCACCACAGCTCTACACAGTGGACACCCCCATCTGCCAACTTGGGCAGGCGATCAGGGCTGTCCTCTGTGCCCTTCCCAGGAGGTCAGGACTGGTAGCCAAGGTCTTCTGGCATGCTTTTCAAGATCTTTTGTTAGTTGACCCCTGGTGGCAGGAATCATTTCTTTTCTGGTTCATCTGGGTCCTCCTAAGCCCAGCCCGATGTCCTCAGGCTGTGCTTGGTGTCAGCACCACACTCCTAGGCCTCAGTCCCAGGACCTCTGACCAGGGAATGAGCATCAGTACAGTGTGTCCCCTACCCCCACACTCCCTTCTGCCCACCCATGCATAGACTTCCAGCACTGCACACGGTGAGGGCCTCCTCTCCACAGAAAGACGGAGGGCTTGCCTCTGGGTCTCTCCTGCCCGTACCCCATCTAAATCTCCTGTCCATTCATCCCTTCCTCAGACTCCGCTTTGAGCTTGTTGAAACAGGTCTTCAAAGGACGTAATCTGAACAACTAGTGAGAGCATGATCCACCCTCTTAATGATGTATTTGCCTTAGAAGTGGCTCTTGGGAACAGAGCCTCGCCCCCTCTACAGTCACTCTGACGGTGCACACGCAGGCACCACAGGAGCCACGGGGGAGGCTGGGGGAGGAAGACAGCCTTGTGCCCTGTAGGTGGGCTCCGATCGCACCAGCACACAGGACCACCAGCCGCTACCTCCATCTGGCTCCACAGCCTTACGTTGCGAAAGCCAAGAAGAGCTGGAAAGAAGAATTGCTGGCACTGATAGCCTAATTCCATTACTGCCTGGCAAGAGGGAAGCGCTGTCGGCTGTGTGAGCTCAGACAGATCTTTTAACCTCTCTGAATTTCAGTCTTTGAGTAGACGTCTGAAAAGTATTTGTGGAATTGAATCTTGAGGCTTGGATCTGGAAGCGTTCATTTTGAGACTTAGCAATAAATCAAGTAAGGTTTTCTTAAAATCCTTTTCTAACCCCACTATGCACCCACCCTCCCTCAGAAGGTCACCTATCCTTACTTCTCACACACTGCTGTAAGGACTAACGACTGAGAGAGCTGATTCTTCTTTGACTCCTGACCCGGGAGATGCTTTATGAATGAACTGATGAGAAGAGCTACCATGTGCCAAGTATGTAATGGCTGCCAAGCGTGATGCTAAGAATTAAAAATGCGAATTCTCACAACAGAACTATTTTACGGCTGAGGAACCTGAGACTCGGGCAGAGAGAGAGAGAAACTTGTGCAAGGTCCCACAGCTAGAAGCTTTGGAGCTGGAACTC